CTCTTGTGATTGCAATGGATAACCTTATCAGGTGACCCTTTGCATGTGTGGAAGTCGAGTTGTCTGCAGGATTAATTCCTAGAAGTGGAATTGCTAGGAGGAGGACAAGGTGGTGTGTATTTGTAATTTTTACAGATTTTGCCAAGCTGGAACCAACAAAGAAGTTGTACTATTTTTGCCCCAGTGCTAACAACATATTGATTTTTTTTAGTATTCAACAAACATTTATTGAGCTCTTACCAGGGACCAGATAAATGCAGATCACTGAGAATGAAAACAGAAACCACAACTTGTCCTGACTCACAGAACAGACGTACTATGCTGGACCAAACCATGATGTGCTTCACACACTGTCAAACCTCACACAGGCAGCACGAGCTTGTTCAGACCCAGAATTCCAAGATAAGACCACTGGCACTTCCATTGATTCTCTAGGTTACAAAATCTCACCAGTCCTCGCAAAGAGCTCCCTATGACTAAATAATTTCTAGGGCAAAATGCACATGACAATTAAGGAGATCATCTTTTTTAGGCTAGGGCAATAGGGGAAATGTTGATGAAGGAGAGAGGTCTCAAAGAAGAAGAAAACTTTTGGCTTTCTAAAGCAAAGGAGTCGTCGAGGAAGAGCAGAGGTGGTTCTTACCTTAGGTGAGAGTGGTTCTTATCTTAGGTGAGAGCAGTTCTTATCTCAGGTGAGAGCGGTTCCTGTCTTAGGTGAGAGCAGTTCCTATCTTAGGTGAGAGCAGTTCCTATCTTAGGTGAGAGCAGTTCTTATCTTAGGTGAGAGCGGTTCCTATCTTAGGTGAGAGCGATTCCTATCCTAGGTGAGAGTGGTTCCTATCCTAGGGGAGAGCGGTTCCTATCCTAGGGGAGAGCGGTTCCTATCCTAGGGGAGAGCGGTTCGTATCCTAGGTGAGAGCGGTTCGTATCCTAGGTGAGAGCGGTTCCTATCCTAGGTGAGAGCGGTTCTTATCTTAGGTGAGAGTGGTTCTTATCTCAGGTGAGAGCAGTTCCTGTCTCAGGTGAGAGCGGTTCCTGTCTCAGGTGAGAGCGGTTCCTATCTTATGTGAGAGCAGTTCCTATCTTAGGTGAGAGCGGTTCCTATCTTAGGTGAGAGCGGTTCCTATCCCAGGGGAGAGCGGTTCCTATCCCAGGGGAGAGCGGTTCCTATCCCAGGGGAGAGCGGTTCCTATCCTAGGGGAGAGCGGTTCGTATCCTAGGGGAGAGCGGTTCGTATCTTAGGTGAGAGCGGTTCCTATCTTAGGTGAGAGCGGTTCCTATCTTAGGTGAGAGCAGTTCTTATCTTAGAACTGTACACTCATTTCCAGTGAACTAGTCGCTGATTTTTGGTATATTCACAAAGTTGTGCAACCTTCATCACAATCAGTTTTAGAATGTTTTCACCACTCCAAAAAGAAACCCTGGGTCCATTAGTAGACACTCTCTATTTCCCACTGCCCAGTCCTAAGCAACTGTTACCTTACTTCCTGCCTCTATAGATTTACCTGTTCTGAACATTTATTATAAATGGAATCACACAATATGTGGTCTTTTGTGACTGGCTTCTTTCATTTAGCATAATGTTTTCAATTTTCATGTGGTAGCGTGCATTAGCACTTCTTTTTATTGCCTAATAATATTCAACTGTATGTCACATTTTATTTACCAATTCATCATTTGGGTTGTTTCCATTTTTTGGCTATTATGAATAATGCTGCTGTGAACATTTGGGTACACATATTTACGTGAGCCTATGTTTTCGATCCTTTTGGCTCTATACCTAGGAGTGGATGGCTGGGTCTGATGGTAACTCTATGTTTAGAACTGCCACAGTGTTTTCTACAGTGATTGCACCATTTTTACATTCTTAGCAACAATGTAGGAGGGTTCCAATTTCTCCACATCCTTGCCAATACTTGTTTACTTATTACAGCTATGCTAGTGGACATGAAGTTGAATCTCATTGTGATTTTGACTGGCATTTCTCTTTTTTCCTACACCCTCCTAGATTTGATGCACAGAGGGCATTTAACAAAGATATGAGACTCAAGAAGGAGGCCAGAAGATGAAGTTTATATTTTATCTTAGGCTAAACAAAGCAAAGAGGATTGTGGGCTTTTTGAATTGAGAGAGAGTTATAAATATCCAAGTGATAAGATATTATTTTCTGGCTCTATAATTAATTTCTAGTTTTGCTACATTATGATTAGAGAATGGTATCTATAGACTTTTTGGGATTTATTGATATGTTCAATAAATTCTTATTGAAGAATTATGGAGGGTATCAGAATATTACCCCAAAATATGCCACTTTGGCACATACGGATTATTTTGAGCTAATTGAGAGGCAATGAGAACCAGAAGATGCAGAAAAAGCTCTTTACCTTCTCCACTTGCCTAAAAATAAAGGATTTCCCCTTTAGTTTTAGCACTGAAAGTCCCATGTCCTAGGAAGCTCTCAATCCCTGGAAAACCAGGACAGTTGGTCACCCTAGTTTTCTTTTATAAGCAATAATGGAATTACCATAGTTTCTCTTCCTTTTACTTCCTTTATCAGGAAGCTTTTTTCTATAACAATGGTATGCAACCTTGATGGCATCTAAAGGAGTTTAAAAAATCCTGATGCCTATGTCTCACCCCCATAGATTCTAATTTAATTGGTTTGGGTGTGGCTTGGGCGTTCAGAACTTTTTAAACCTACTCAGATCTAATGTTCAACCAAGGTTGAGAACCATTGGTGTACAGAGACATGGAACTATCTCTAAGATATATTGAGTGCAGCATGGTGTGCATAATATACTACCACTATGTATAAGATGGAATAAAGAAAATATTTGTATATTTGCTTTGTATATAAAACTATCTTTGGCATAACATAGAAGGATCTGTTAACATTGATTACTTCCAGGGTATCAACTGGGAACAGGGAGGGACACTTTTCACTGTGTACTTTTCTGAACTTGTGAAACTGTCATCTATTTTTACGTTATTTTTAAATTCTGTCTCTTTAATCTAGAAAAAACATTCACTGTCCTGAAAAAGTAGATATGTAAATAAATAGTTCAATCTTTTTTTTTCTTTAAAGCCCTCAAACCACACAGATTTAACACTAGCAACAGTAGTTATGCATAAAAAACTTTCTGAGGAAGGAAATGTAAAGTACATTAAATACAAAATTATGTTAATGTAATGTATTACATTATAAAATTAAAATACATATTTATAAATCATGCATGAATATATATATATACGTGTGTGTGTGTGTGTGTGTGTGTGTTAAGTCTCATTCACTGTGTCCAACTCTTTGTGACCCCAAGGACTGTAGCCTGCCAGACTTCTCTGTCCATTGGGATTCTCTAGGCAAGAATACTAGAGTGGGTTGCCGCATCTTCCTGCACGGGATCTTCCCAACCCAGGGATTGAGCTCATGTCTCTTATGTCTCCTGCATTGGCAGGTGGGTTCTTTACCACCAGCACCACCTAGGAAAAGTGAAGATGCTCATTCGTGTCTGACTATTTGGGACCCTGTGGACTGTAGCCTACTAGCCTCCTTGAAGCTCATGTACACATATATGTCTATGTTATGTGCCCAGGCAACACCAAAGGGAGTTTACTGATAGAATTATAGTGCTTTTGTCTCTTAAAAAATGTGTAAACCATATTCATTATTTTTATAATAAAAAGGGAACAGAAACTTGATAATCATGTTTTACTCTAAAGGTAGGGCTCTTGCTCCCCTGGAAGGAGTCAGCTTTGCCTTGCTGACGTGGCGGCTTTTGCTCCTGTCCCTTTCTTCCTGTATCGTGTGGATCCTCTCTTCTTGCTCATGAGGAAGCCCAACCCCTGAGGTTTCAAAATCAGCCCAGCTACCTCATGGCCATGCCTGGAGGAGGGCCACCCCTGGAGCTGGGCAGCTGCCAGCAGATGCCCAGACAGACTTCATTGAGTGCCTCCCACACGACGGCATGCTAGGCTGTGTGTGGGAAAAACAATCAGGAGACGGGACTCTGCCAACAAGGCCTTGCCTGTGTGAAGTGGCAGCCAGGACGAATGCACAGAAGCAGGCCTGTCCTAATATTTATGAGGCCAGGATGAGAGTATTAATAGAGGCCCACATCCCATGTGTCTAAAGATTTAAAAGCTGTAACTCAAGCCACCACACTGTTGACTAAAATACTATCTGTTCTCCTCCTGTAATAAATATAATTTTGAAGCCCCAGAGAAGGCCAGGTTTGAATGTAGAGCTCCCTCTGTGATTCCTTGGAGTTCTGTGTTTGGATAAGGCTGTGGCAGGCAGCTTCTAAGATGGTGCCCAGTGAGCTCCATCTCTTATGCTTTTGTGTAATCCCCTCCTCTTGAGTGTGGACGTGAACCACCACTTACTTCTTTATTTGTTTGTTAATTTATTTACTTATTTGTTGGCTGTGCTGGGTCTTCTTTGCTGCAAGCAGGCTTTTCTCTAGTAGCAGCAAGCAGGGGCTCCTCTTTAGTTTGGTGCACAGGCTTCTCCTCGTGGTGAATTCTCTTGCTGCAGAGTGTGGGCTCAGGTTTCAGTAGTTGTGGCCGGTGGGCTTAATTGCCTCACTGCTTGTGGGATCTTCCTGGACCAGGGGTTGAATTGTGTCACCTACATTGGCAGGCAGATTCTTTTGTTGTTGTTAAACATTTATTTATTTGACTTCGCTGGGTCTTAGTTGCAGCTCATGGGATCTTTAGTTGTGGCATGTGGGATCTAGTTCCCTGACCAGCAATAGAACCCCTGGCCCCCTGCATTGGGAGCTCAGAATCTTAGCCATTGGACCACCAGGGAAGAATCTGGCAGGCAGATTCTTAACCACTGGAAAGTCCACATTTATTTATCTTTTAACTGAAGCATAGTGGTTTTTCCATGAATTGCTTCTAACCGATAGAATGTATTAAATGGGATGGGATAGCACATCTATGATTAGGTTATACAAGATAGTGGTTTCTCTCTTGCTGGTAGATTCTTTCCCTTCCAGGTTTTGATGAAGCAAATTGCTATGTGGAAAGGCCTATGTGACAAGCACACAAAGGTGGTCTTGTCCAACAGCCAGCAAGGAACTAAAGCTTGCAGTCCAAGACCCTAGAGGAACTGAAATTCTGCCAATAGCTACAATCTTAGAAGCAGATCCTTTCCCAAACAAGCCTTCAGGTAAGACCTCAGCCCTGGACAGCACCCTGTGAGAGACCCCAAAATAGAGTACCCAGCTAAGCTCTGCCCAGATTCCTAACACAGCAATTGTGAGATAATAAATATGTATTAAGTCACTAAGTTTTCAGTAATTTGTTACACAACAACAGAAAATGAATACAATGACACTGCTGGGAGAGTTGTCCTTCAGTCCCAGCCCCCAGCTAGTTATTCACATTCTCTTCCCACCCTCTCTTTATTTTGAGCCTTGAGGGACTTTGTGTTCATTCTTATAGACACCCACTTTTCTTGTCAGTTCTGTCTACCCTGCTTCCTGCTCCTAGACATCCTTCAGGCCTAGAGGGAGGGCACATCCTAAGCTGGTGTAACCCATGGGAGCAATGGTGCCCTTGGAAGAGTGGGGCAGGGGATGATTGCAGGACCATTCATGCAGGGAATTCCAGGGGCCCAGGTACTCAGTTCAGTTCAGTCACTCAGTCGTGTCCAACTCTTTGTGACCCCATGGACTGCAGCACACCAGGCCTCCCTGTCCATTACCAACTCCTGTAGTTTACTCAAACTCATGTCCATTGAGTCGGTGATTCCATCCAACCATCTCATCCTCTGTTGTCCCCTTCTCCTCCTGCCTTCAATCTTTCCCCAGCATCAGGGTCTTTTCCAAGGAGTCAGTTGTTTGTATCAGGTGGCCAAAGGATTGGAATTTCCGCTTCAGCATCAGTCCTTCCAATGAATATTCAGGACTGATTTCCTTTAGGATGGACTGGTTGGATTTCCTTGCAGTCCAAGGGACTCTCAAGTACTCCCAGGTACTCAGAACATTCTATAAGAGGGGATCCAGGTCCTTGACCTCTCTCCTTGGGCTCCCAACACCCTGGAAAGGGGATGGCTAGAAAAGGGGCAGAGCAAGGCCCTCCAAAGCCCAGGGCAGGGCCAGGGGCCATTCTCACCTCCTATAAGGCCAGCACTGCCTTCATAAGATAGAGTAGGCAATGGCAACCCACTCCAGTACCCTTGCCTAGAGAATCCCATGGACGGAGGAGCCTGGTAGGCTGCTTTCCATGGGGTCGCTAGGAGTTGGACATGACTGAGCAACTTCACTTTCACTTTTCGCTTGCATGCATTGTTCATGCATTCACTTGCATCCAGTGTTCTTGCCTGGAGAATCCCAGGGACAGAGGAGCCTGTTGGGCTGCCGTCTATGGGGTTGCACAGAGTTGGACACGAATGACGTGACTTAGCAGCAGCAGCAGCCTTCATAAGAAGACCTGGCTGAGGGCCAGGTGGGTTGGATCAGACCCAGAGTGCTGTCCACAGAGTGTAAATGAGCAGAACCACCCCACCTCTGAAGGAAGTCTTCAAAGGGAGCTGTGGTTGAGCTGGATCATAAAGGTGGGATGGCCTCCAGCAAGGCAGCCAGCATTGAGTTTTTGGTCCCCAACAAGGTGGTTTCTTTAGGGTAGGATGGTGAGGAGTTTGGCTGTAGCTCAGAGCGCATCTGTTAAAATTCTGCCTCTGTACACTGGTTGTGTTGTTTGTTGTTCCATTGCTAAGTTGTGTCTGACTGTTTGTGACCCAATGAACTGCAGCATGCCAGGCTTCCCCGTCCTTCACTATCTCCCAGAGTTTATGCAAACTCCTGTCCATTGAGTTGGTGATGCCATCCAACTATCTCATTCTCTGTCATCCCCTTCTCCTCCTGCCCTAAATCTTTCCCAGCATTAGGGTCTTTCCCTACCTTGCCTCATAGATGGAAGGGAGAAGTGAATTTATTCAGTTGCTGATATGCTAGTTTGCTCAACAAGCATCGATAGAAGCTTTCAGAGCCTGGTCGTAACTCACGTCCTCCTTCCTCAGACTCTGTGATCCATGATGAGGTGTCAGGAGTGTGAGGTCTGGGTTCTGTGGTGTCTGCTCTTAAGGAGTGTGCATCAGGCAGGGCACCCAGTCTCTGCTGCTTCCTCTGTGAAGTGGAGCGGTTACCGCTGTCCCTCCAAGTGTGGACCACAGCATCAGCTGGAGCCTGTTTGAAGGGCAAAATCTCAGGCCCTGCCCCCGACTTACTGAGTCAGAATCTCTGGAGCTGGGGCCTGAGAATTTGCCTAACACACTCGCTAGGTGATTTTCCATCCAACAGTTTGGGGATCACTGAGATGGACTGTCAGAGGTCTTCACAGACCTGGCTCCACAGACTCCCCCCCAGTCATCCTTGTCCAGGTACTGATGCAGGAGGTATGAGGGCTGGGCCCCGCAAAGCAGCAGACCTGATGGGGTTTTGAGTAGTCAGATGTTTCACTTCTACTGTTAGAGACTGCTTGTTATGCTCTGAATGCTTGTGTCTCCCCAAATTTGTATATTGAAATCCTAACCCACAAAATGATGGTATTAGGAGGTGGGGCTTTGCTCAGGTGCTTCAGTTTTGAGGGTGGGGCCCTCTTAAGTAGGATTAGTGGTTTTATACAGGAGGCTCCCTGCTGGCTTCACCTGGAGAGGAGACATGAGAAGTCTTCGGCACTCACCCTGGCTCCCTGATCGCAGACTTCCAGCCTCCAGAACTGTAAAAATTTCTGTTGTTCCTAAGCTACCCAGTGTGTTCTATTTTGTTATAGCAGCTCAAACAGATGAAGATACCACTGGGTTAGGGGGCAGGGCCATCCAGTGCAAAATGAAAATGCAGGGTGCCTTGTTCAAAAGGCAGGAGGAAAGCCTTTTTCTTTTCTCTGTGGTCTTCTTCCTGTCTTATCATGTGTTTTAAAATTTTCTATTTAGTGTCATGCCCTCTCAGGAAGGGGACACTTTCAGGGTGAGGACAGACCCTCCCAGGCTTCTGAGGGTCTGTCTCAACCCCTTGTTGAGCCCGTGCCCATGCCCCTGCGGGGCACTGCAGCTGATGGGGAGACCTCTGAGCTCTGGCTGGAGCAAGAGTGATTGCAGCTGGAAGAAGGCAGTGCAGCCAGCAGCCCCTGGGGTACTTAGGGTGATTAATGAATGCATTTGGAAATTTCCTCCTGCTTCGGCCTCAGCTGGCACCTGAACTGTGGTCGATGCTGCAGTACATTTCTGTATAATCTCTTTTGACAGCTGGGAGGAGGGCAAACCCACAAGACTAACCCAATTACAGTAAAAAGAGAGATCTGGCCGCTCCCTGCTGACAAGGGGAACACAAGGGCATCCCAATTCAGAGATGTAATGCTTCAGGACCAGCGAGCTGCTAGCGCAGCAAGTACTTGCCTGCCCAGCTCCTTGGCATATTTTTACTTCTTGACAAATGGTGCTGTCACTGTTCAGCTGTGTCAGGGAGGGTGATGTGGAGGGAGCCGAGGGGATTGGGCTCCCTGCACCCGCATCGCCAGGCCTGCGATGCATCAGCCCGAGAGGAGATGAACAGTGATAATATCCCTGATCAGGGATTCAGAAAAGCTGGGGTCTCCTCTGATTCTCTGTCTCATGGAGTGGCCTTGGGTAGACATTCATCCTGCCCAGCCTCAGTATTCCCATCTGTAACATGGAGGTCTTCAATGAGATTATACCCCACCTCCACCTCTTTCATATTTATACATTTTGTATGATTCATATGATGAAAGATTGAGAGAGATTTCGGCCTGTGCAGTTAGGTGTACAGGAAGATCATTAAGAATGTAACACAGAGTGGGATATACCCTGGATGGTGTGTTGGTCACATCACAAAAATGTCATAAAGAATCTGATGCTTGTTTGTTGGCCATGGGGGAGGCCACTGAAGGCATCTTAAGGGGAAAGGGTTATGTTCAGAGTTGAACCTTAGATGAAGCAGAATGCCAAATTTCAGGACTGAGGATAAAAAAAAGCCAGTTATGGGGCCACGCCCAGACGTCTTTGCCCTTGGACAGCTCTGCTGCCTTCCTAAGGACGGTCCTAATTCACAACCAGCCGACTGCGTTCTCATTCTGTCATAATCTCACCATCACTTGGTTCCATCATATCCTTGGTTTGGTCATAACCTCACAATCATTTGGCATTATCAGACCTCTGTATTTTTGCCAACAAAATGGGTGTGAATTGAAATTTCACTGTAATTTTAATTTGCATTTTCCTGGTTAGTAATGTGGTTGAACATCTCTTTGTATTGATTGGATAGTTATGTTCCCTCTTCTGTGAGTTTGTCTGTTTTTTCTTATGTTGTTAAAAAATCCACTCCCCTGCCCCTACTATAGATTCTGATTATTAATCTTTTGTCAGTTACATGCAGTGCAAATGTTTCTTCCCAGGTTGTAGTTGGCCTTTTAACTTTGTCAATGGTGACTTTAGAAAAGCAAGCAAATAAGTATAACATAGGTGAATTTATCAACATTTTTATTATACTTATGGTTTGTTCTTTGTTATTACTTTAAGAAATCCTTCTTGCCCTCAAATCATAAAGCTATGTTTGATATTTTCTCTAAAAGTTTTCATGTTTTCCTTTCATCTTTGGGTCTTTGCATACTAAATTTATTTTTTATATGGTGTAAGATAAGGAAGAATCAGATTGGCTCCAATTTTCTCTCTTTCGAAGGGATACCAAATTGTCCCAGTACCACACAGTGAGTGGTCTAAGGCTCAGCACTTGTGCTCCACCTGGGAGAGGGTGATATAAGTGAGGTGCCCACTCTGGGGCATGAGGGTCTGCAGCACAGAGTGAGCGCTTTCTTCAATTTTGTGTCCTGGGTGCCTTGCTTGCCTCACCCTGATCAAGCCCTGAGGTCGCTCTCCCCTTCCCTCCAGGGGATCCAGTCTGTGGCATGAAGGCTTGTCCTGATAATACGCACCACGATTTTGGGTCTCCTGCCCAGGAATGTTGGTTCTCCAGGCAGATGCCTCTTTATGAAGAGGGAGGGAAAGGAGCCCTGAAATCTCCAGCCGGGGAAGGAGGGATGTCTGGGACTGGAGGGGGCGGGGTGAGGGGCAGGAGTGCTGGGACTAGAGCCCTGGAAGTGCTGTTTTCTGAGGCTTGTGGGGCAAGTGGCTGGTGCTTGGAAGCCTTTCCC